AATATGTTGATTTGTTTCGTTGAACCACAAACCAAATTTCCATACACTCATGGAAACAAATAGGGGAACACATGAAAGTACATGTATACAAGTGTTCCTTTATTCTTTTTCCGGTTTCTTCACAAGGTATGTATTGCACTGTGGGTGAAACTTTGGAAATAAATAAAGGAACACTTGTACTTTCATGTGTTCCCTTATTTGTTTCGATGAGTATATATAGCTTTTTACTTGGCGAATATCTTTAACATGAAATAACAATTTTCACATAATTTTCAACATAAATTATATTTCTACTTTACACATGCAAAGGTATGTTCTTTGTTAAGTTTGTAAAATCTCATGTACGACAATTTACCTTAGCTCCGATCTGGTTGCCACATTGGCCAGTTTGCATATGGACGATCTCTCGCATGTTGAAGGTTGGCGGAAGGACGGAGATGATAAATCCTTATTTCTGCAAGGGTCAAGCTGGACACTTGAGTTGTTACTGACCTCAACAAGACCGACACTGTTTATATATGGACTCGCATCGAGTGCTTGTTTCCGATTGGCTGGTGGTTGCCGTGCAGCTAATTACCAACACGATTAGGCTAAATCTGTCCATAATCTGAAAGTTAAGCGCATTGTGACAATATGTTTGTTTCCTCATTTGACGAAGACAGCTGTCTACATTCAGTTGTGATAATACTGGGGGCGGTGGGGTAGCCTAGTGGCTAGCGTTCGCTCGTCACGCCGTAGACCCGGTTTCAATTTCCCATATTGGTACAATGTGTGAAGCCAATTTCTGATGTCCTCCGCAATGATATTGCTGGAATATTGCTAAAAGCGGCGTAAAATTTAACCCACTCACTCATCACTTTAATAATGTTGCTTTTTATATACCCGTATGGAGACGGGTAAATGTGACCTTCAACAAAGCATACTTATCGTAAAAGGTTGGTCAGACTCGCTGACTTACAAGGTTAGTCAGACTCGCTGACTTGACTGGTGCACGTTATCGTATCCAAATTACGCAGATCGGTACCATGATTCTAATCATCGCGGTGTAGTGGTTAGATTGCATTGTCTGGATTATTTCCAGGCCTTTGTCATACAAGCTGGGATAATGATCGGTACGGCGTAAAACCAAGTCTGGGCAAAACAAGCAAAAAGTCATATGAGCGAAAAGCACGAAGAAAAAAAGTTGACTCAATTTCGCAGTGATGGAATAATAATTCCCCATATACATGTCGGTGTACTCTATACATAGCGCTCAGACATCATAATTCCTGTCACAGAATCCACGACATTCATACTCAAGTCGTTAGTTTACGATACATATAATGTAGTTTGTGTGTGTGTATTTTGCTATTTGGTGTTTGCCTGCTTTGCCTGCTTGCCTGTTATCGACGTTGCTTGCCTTGCCTTGCTTTGCTTGCTTGCTTGCTTGCTTGATTGATTGATTGAATGAATGGTTGGTTGGTTGATTAAATTGATTGATTGATTGACGCCGCACTCAATATCATTACAGCTGTATGGCGGCGGTCTGTAAATCATCGATTCTTTACCAGACAATCCAGTGATCAACAGCATGAGCATCGACATACGCAACTGAGTTACGATGACATGTGTCAAGTAAGCGAGCCTGACCACCCAATCCCTTTAGTCGCCTCCTGCGACAAGTATGGGTTACGGAAGACCAATTCTAATCCGGATCTTCAATGGTCGTTGAAACGTAATGTGACACGTTCGACGTTTTGTAAAGGGGACAACGCGACAATGTCCCTTCTGGGATTCCATATTAAAGCGTTTGCTGTCACGCTCCATTCGTCAAAATGGCGAATCCCATATTTGCACCCTACCCCACATGATTTACTATAGTTTGAAGTTTATTTCTTAATTTTATGTCTAGGTCTATCACTCAGATTGAACAGCCAGATATTTGGACACTATGAAACTTAGTTGTTTCTTTTTTTGTAAACAAAGTATCTGCACATTCAAAACATTACCCATGAAATGAGAAACGGGACTATCTTCATGTACGAAAGATTCACCATGAACACTGTACATTAAGTATTTTGAATATAAGCTGAACAAAAGAAAAGAACATTTTGGACAAAGTCACAGTTGGACAGGGACAGACCCGAGTTGTTAGTTTGCTGTTAAACGCCGCAAACAGACAACCCAGTGATCAACAGCATGATCATCGATCTACGCAAATTGGGATAGGATGACATGGATCAACCAAGCCTGACCACCCGGTCCTGTTAGTCGCCTTTTACGACAAGCGCGGGTTACTGAAGATCAATTCTAACCGGATCTTCAAGGGTCTCTGTGTCAGGGATACAGTGTGCCAGGTATAGAACATTGGGAAATGGGGATAGAGATTGGTCTGGGACATAGATAGAGCAATGTAGGAATAAAAGGAATAGAGACGGACCTAAGACAGGAATGGAGAGTACCTGGTATAGAGCGATGGGATACAGGCGGATCTGGGGCAAGGATAAAGCAGTAATATATAACATATCTTATATTTGGGATTACACTTTCTTAGTAAAGTACAGATTCTAGAACTTTTGTTGGGTTGAGTCCCATCCGGGATTCGAACCCACACCCTCAGAGTCGACAGCACGCAAAGTCAGCCGCCTGACCCGCTCAGCCACCGCGACTCCCACAAAAATATGGAAGTCGGACAATTAGTAGTCTAGGCTGCGGACTTTGTGTACCCATCTGATAAGTTAAAATTGGCTAGGCTCCCACAGACTCAACCCAACAAAAGTACAGTACTAGAATTTGTATTTTACTAAGAACGTGCAATCCCAAATATAACATATGTTACATTTTATCACTTTCTAAAAGGCATTGTGTAATCACAATAATATATAGAGGGTTGAGATGGATCTGATGCAGGAATAGAGTGAGTGAGTTTAGGTTTACGCCGCTTTTAGCGGTATTCCAGGAATGGGGGAACACCAGAAGTTAATGGGTTTCACACATTGTACCCATGTGGTGAATCGAACCCGGGTCTCTGGTGGTATGACGAACGAATGCTTTAACCACTAGGCTACCCCAGCGCCCTGTTTAAAAGCATAAATGTGTATATTTTAGGACACGCTCAGCGTATGCGGAGATTGCTCACGAAAACGATAACAATTTTGAAAATAAATCTTAGCCATAATTTTTCGAGGAAAGACTCCAAACATGTATTCTTGTCTTTCTGATTTTGTTGTTTTGTCAAACATGTGTATTTTTATTGCATAAAGTGTCAGGCAAAAGCAAAAATATATCCAAGTTTGTTGGTAGCTCGAGAGAAACAAACAAAAAATTTGCATTCGATGGTGCACACACAGTCAGCCATCTAACCCACTCAGCCATCGAGGCTACAACAAATATAGAACTCTGACAACTGGTAGTCATAGTCTATGTACGTCTGGTTAAGGGGTACATCTCAAAAGGCGAAAGGTTTCCCTCAGCCAAATCCAACTTTACAATGCATACTTCTTTCTGTCCAGTAGTTTATATCAAATCCGGCGTTTAGAACCCGTGAAGATCCGGGTTAGAATTGATCTTCAGTAGCCCATGCTTGTCGTAAAAGGCGACCAACGGGATCGGCTGGTCAGGCTCGCTGACTTGGTTGACACATGTTATCATATCCCGATTTCGTAAATCGATGCTCATGATATTGATCAATGGATTGTTTGGTCCAGACTTGATTATTTACATATAGCTGGAGTATTGTTGATTGCGGCGTAAACTAAGCTCTCTCACTCCAAAGTTCAGAACATATTTGGCCTTGTCTTCCGGCGGGAGTGATCAGCGAAGTGAGACAGAAGATTTACATTTACAGAGGATTATTCGACTCCGATAATGTTGTATTGGCACAGGAATGCTTGAAGCGTGAGAACCATGTAATTAGGTAGGGCGTTAATAACCTACTTCAAGAGATTCATAGAAATGCTAATCACATATTATCAAGTACATTATTTCACGTCACCAAAGGATCAAATCAATTCAAGTGTTAGAGGGGAAACAATTGTACATTCGTGTTCTCAATGAGGATTATCAGGATTATCCGATGACCGTAACAAGGTATTAAGATAAGATGTTAGTAGTTACTCGCATGGTAACCACAAGCCAATCAGCAATACGAGCACAATACTGAGCTACTTAAACCACCTCCGATCACTTACAACTCCAGTGCCAAGCTTGTGTTCAACTGTAATAACGCTCTACCGTCTCAGTCCTTCCTTCAACCTTCAACATGAGAGAGATCGTCCACATGCAAACTGGCCAGTGCGGCAACCAGATCGGAGCTAAGGTAGATAAACGTGCACTTGTTTTGATGTGTGTGAATTTGTCAACGGCAAAACGTAAACACGTAGATCTAACAAACGTGATTCAAACGTCTTACTTCGCCTTTTGAGAATCGAGGTGAAAACAGTTTGTTTCTTCATATCCCAGTATCATTTGTTACCCACTTATGTTATTCCGGGGCAAGCGACTCGTGCCTCTCTAGAATCTCGATTCTACGGCTCGATGATTTTATTACCTCCCTTGGTTGGCTTTTGATCCAATCAGGTGTCTACGCTGGGAAGTTGAGCGTATCAATCACAACTTACTTTCAATTTTTAAATTATCTAGCCGATTAAACTTGTCAACACAATAATATATTGTTGAAGATACTCTGAAAGAAGGTGAGGTGAGGTGAAATTGGGTTTTACGTCGTGCTTGAGAATATTTCGCTCATATGACGACGTGCATGTGTGTGTATGTGTATGTGCAGCTGCTTGTACTAGCCCAGACTGAAGCTGTTTTTATAGTGCTAGCCCACTGAGATACCATGCCGCAGTAAAGCATGAATACCCCACTCACACACAGTATACTGACTCCGAGCCCACCAGTCCTTGTTGTACCCATTAATGCCGAGCGCCAAGCAGGGACCAACAAGTACAATATTTTAACGTCTTTTGGTATGACGCGGTCTGCAAAGAAGGTGTGCTTGCATATATTTTCTTAAGATTTCAGACCTGTCAATTTGTCTGCATGTTTTTCCCAAACATCTGAGTCGCACTGCGAACAAACTTTGGCGGCTGCGACCGCTATTTTTGTTGACACTGGCAAGGTCGGTTGTAACGGCGGTTTATCAGACTGGCTACTGTGAGAATGCGGAGCCAGCAAATGGAGGTAATAAAATCATCGGGCAGAGCCGTAGATGCATCCAGAGTATAGTGGAGAGTAATCGTAACGTATACTCTGGAGATTATCGAGGATGCATTTCTGTTTAATTCCAATGATGTTAAATTACACCGAAGCACTCGTATATTGTATCATGCTTTCTAAAGAATTAAACCTCTTTGATACAACTTAGAGAAGACGAAAAACTATTTATTGAAAACTTCTTCTTACGTCAGCTGTCTGACCAACGTCAGATTAAAATATCCCACCGTGTTTAGGGTTAAAGTTGTTTAGTTATAGATACATATATTGTATAGAAACTCGTACCTGTTAATAATTGCATTAATGAAAAACGTCGGAATGCGCACGTAAAATCTACAAAGCAAGCCCGGAAGATCGTCCGGGAAAACCTTCTGTTATGAGAGGCGTTATGTAAACAAACTCACGTGTGTACTAGTATTTGAATCTCTCACTGTGTATTTGAAACCCTTTCCTCATTAACAAGTTCAAATCATCCAACACAATTATCTTCAGTTAGCTATCTTCGTTATAATGACAAAATGATGATATTATTTTTAACGAATTTAAAAAAAAATTACACATTGCCATATCTTGGTAACTTAATCTTTACGCGCATTCTGATTGGTTTGTCGTATTTTCGCACATAACATTCGGTGTGGGCGAGTCTTCTTGGAGGTTACGGAACATGACGAGTTGTGATGAATGATTCCAGTACGTTCTCACATTAACGTGAAATAGAATAGGAGATTTGAGAATATGTCTTGAAGCACTGACAAGCCAGAAACTTTGGTCATATTGGGTGAAGACCGCCGCCATAGGTAAGATGTACTAAACTCACTCATGGACACGAATAAGGGAACACCTGAAAGTACATGTGTTCCTTTATTCTCTTCCAGACCTTCACCAACGGTGAAATACAAAGCTTGTGGAGAAACCCGGAAAAGAATAAAAGAACACCTGTACTTTGAGGTGTTTCTTATTCGTTTCAATGAGTATATTAATGGATGTGAAATGATTTCAATCAGCTAGAGCGATCCAACTTATACTATTATAATACAACAGTAACATAATGGGCAGTTGACAAGTTTGCAATTTATGGTTTGGTCCATTGTCGTAACATGGGTGAAAACTGAACTTTATTCTCTACTTCTAGTTCTGGGAGGTGATCTCTGATGAGCACGGCATCGACCCCACCGGCACCTACCACGGTGACTCCGACCTGCAACTGGAGAGAATCAACGTCTACTACAATGAGGCTACAGGTGCGCATAATGTGCTACTTACATCTTAAATGAAAGTTTTAAAAAATATTAAATGATGATGTTCAATTTAGTGTTTGGATTCGAATCCGATCACAAATATTTGTCTCGAAGAATAAAATGCAGAAATGTGCATATCATGGATTGTAGGAAATAACTGCGCATTACAATTAATTATTAATTTCTAATTAATTCATAAAGAGCTTATATAGGACGAAATAATTATATCAAGTAAGATGGTTATGCGTTATTAGGTTAAACATATCAAGTTTACTATGTTTGCTATTTTCCAGGAGGCAAATATGTTCCCCGGGCTGTTCTCGTGGATCTCGAGCCCGGAACCATGGACTCTGTCCGATCTGGTCCCTTCGGCCAAATCTTCCGTCCAGACAACTTTGTCTTCGGTCAGAGTGGTGCTGGCAACAACTGGGCCAAGGGGCACTACACAGAGGGCGCCGAGCTGGTAGACTCCGTGTTGGATGTTGTCCGGAAGGAGGCGGAGAGCTGTGACTGTCTGCAAGGCTTCCAGCTGACCCACTCCCTTGGAGGTGGCACCGGGTCTGGCATGGGCACCCTCCTCATCAGCAAGATCAGGGAGGAGTACCCCGATAGGATCATGAACACCTTCTCCGTTGTGCCATCACCAAAGGTATACTACCACATATCTCAACAGTATTTATGCTATTCTCAGCAACAACTACAGCTTGAAAATATGTTTATAATCACCATCTGTCGTTTTGTCCATCTCAGTTTCCTTGTTGTCATATATATCGGACCAGAGAAGTTGAGGGATAAAGTATGTTGCCATTCCACGGTATATCGATATTTTCTAGATTTTAAGTAAGAGTGAGTGAGTAAGGTTAGTTTTACGCCGCACTCAGCAATATTCAAGCTGTATGGCGGCGGTCTGTAAATAATCGAGTCTGGACCAGACAATCCAGTGATCAACAGCATGAGCATCGATCTGCGCAATTGGGAACCGATGACATGTGTCAACCAAGTCAGCGAGCCTGACCACCCGATCCCGTTAGTCGCCTTTTACGACAAGCAAAGCCTTTTATGACAAGAATGGGTTGCTGAAGACCTATTCTACCCCGGATCTTCACGGGTCTTTTAAGTAGGACATTTTTGTTGTTATTTGAACAAATAGTACACAAGCTGTCCCTAATAAAATATGTTTTCCCTTTCCAGGTGTCGGATACAGTTGTTGAGCCCTACAACGCCACCTTGTCTGTACATCAACTCGTGGAAAACACTGACGAGTCCTACTGTATTGACAACGAGGCCCTCTACGACATCTGCTTCAGGACACTGAAGCTGACCACACCCACCTACGGTGACCTCAACCATCTGGTGTCCGCCACCATGTCCGGAGTGACAACATGTCTTCGATTCCCTGGACAGTTGAACGCCGATCTCCGAAAACTGGCTGTCAACATGGTGCCCTTCCCTCGTCTCCACTTCTTCATGCCTGGATTCGCTCCACTCACATCCAGAGGAAGCCAACAGTACCGTGCCCTGACTGTGCCCGAACTCACCCAACAAATGTTCGATGCCAAGAACATGATGGCTGCCTGTGATCCTCGTCATGGCCGCTACCTGACCGTGGCTGCCATGTTCCGAGGTCGCATGTCCATGAAGGAGGTTGACGAACAGATGCTCAACGTCCAAAACAAAAACAGCAGCTACTTTGTGGAATGGATCCCCAACAACGTTAAAACCGCCGTCTGTGACATCCCACCACGTGGTCTCAAGATGTCATCTACCTTCATTGGTAACAGCACAGCCATCCAAGAGATCTTCAAACGTATCTCGGAACAGTTCACAGCCATGTTCCGTCGCAAGGCCTTCCTTCACTGGTACACTGGCGAGGGTATGGATGAGATGGAGTTCACTGAGGCCGAGTCCAACATGAACGACTTGGTGTCGGAGTACCAACAGTACCAGGACGCCACCGCCGAGGAAGAGGGAGAGTTTGACGAGGAAGAAGGAGAAGCTGATGAAGCCTAGATCTGTAATACTTTTGTAAACACAGAAATAAATCTGAACCCGACTAATTTGTTTCTGTTTGTGTTTGAGTATTAAAAGTAGAACTGAGAGAGAACAGACTGCAATGTTCTTTAAGCCTACTAACACATATACGCTTTGGGGGCGGTGGGGTAGCCTAGTGGTTGAAGCGTTCACTCGTCCCGCTGAAGACCCGGGTTCGATTCCCCACATGGGTACAATGTGTGAAGCCCATTTCTGGTGTCCCCCGCCGTGATGTTGCTGGAATATTGCTAAAAGTGGCGTAACATCATACTCACTCACTCATTTACGCTTTGGATCCATGATTGCCATGTGCTTGTTTCACCTTTTTTGCTTATCCATTCTAGCGTCGATATGATCGAATGAGTGAGTCAATATGAATACACAATGCCTTTTAGAAAGTGGTCAAAAATAACATATGTCTAACCGTACAGATTCAAGTACTTTTTTTAGGTTGAGTACCTTGCAGGATTCGCACCAACACTCTCAGAGTAGGACACCTGTGCAGTCAGCGATCAGCACAAAAAGTCAGAGGTCGGGCCCAAACAGTCACGGTGGTTTCCGAAAAATACAAGTCTGAAAACTGGTTTCTTTACACAAGCTCGGTGTGTTCCCCTCTCACAGTGTAAATGTAAAGTGGCACGGCTCCCACGGCCGAAATGCCGTTTATAAAGTGGTCAAATGTAAAATGTGCTTTGATAGATATTTGGAGGCATTGAAATAGCGGGTTCATTGGGTTCAGAATGGAGTGAATGAGAGAGTTTGGTTTTACACTGCTTTTAGCACTATTCCAGCAATACTACGGCGGGGTACACCAGAAATGGGTTTCACACATTTTACCCATGTCGGGAATCGAACCCTGGTCTTCGACGTGACGTGCGAACGCTTTAACCACTAGGCTACCCCATCACCCCAGTTAGAGTGGAAACTGTGAAACGTGTTGAGGGTAGGCAGAAACAGGGATTGAGCCTTAGCACACAGTCAAACAGCTTCACCTCATAATTGGCTATGCTAGGGCGCCACACGACGTATGTTTCAGCACAGATAAGGATTATGAAATACTGGATAAAATACTTCATATGAATTGTTCTTGATATCCAATCCAATGCTCTGTAATGTTAAAAAACTAACATGATGCCGGAAAACAAAACTGGGTGTCAAACCTCAGACATTTACTACTTTACACACGTTTTACCCTCGTTAGGTTATCACAAAGTGTGGGTGATCCTATCATGTTTACAGCTAAACTAGTGATCATCAGAAACTATTCACAGCAAAATATTACACGGAAATTCACACAAAAAATAAAAACGAAGTGATAAAGCCATATTGAGACATGTCACACACTTACAGACCCATCCTTTCCGGGAACACATAAGTTAACGAATCGCCTATATGTCGCAGAAATTCAAAAGGCCTTTTCTGATATAACATGAAATGTACGTGCACACTGTCGGTATAAACAGCTTACGCGACACGTGAGCAACACAGTTATTAGTAAAAAGAACACAAAAAATAGGCCACGTTTGAGGCAAATCGGAAGAGAGAGAGCTGTCAGAATGGCCCAACAAGGAACTAACCACATCGTCTTTACCGGAACCTTCGGCTGCACCCGAGCAACTGTCATCAGGCTGATGCAACGACTAAGACAAACTGGCAGTACGTCAGACAGGCCTAGGGGTGGTCGACCACGTGTGACATCACCCGGTGATGATCGCCACAATTCATATGAGAAATCGTTTTGTATCGGCGACGTCAACGGCAACGACGACACTAGGACACCATGTCAGTCGACATACAGTGTACCGGTGGCTGTGAACATGGTAATCGAGCACGTCGACCCTACCGTGGAGTGCTTCTGACTCTTCACACCCGACGTTGTCCATTGACATGGGCTAGTGAATTCTTGCTTTGGCAGATGCGTGATTGGCGATGTGTGATGTTCACCGACGAGGGATGATATTTCCTTCGGTTGAAGAATGAATGAGAAGGAAATTACTTTCTCCAGGGTATGTAACTCTTGACAGGGTACGTGTACATGTTGATAGGTGGCGTTGCATAAGGGTATATAAAGGTAGTGTAAGCCATGTACGTCATTCTCGCATCACGTGCAACTATAGTCCGTTTGGCTCAAAAGCGGACCGATGAATTGCAATCTAACTAGAAAACTAATAAACATAAAATACTCAATGAAACGCTGATCATAATCAAAACATCATACCCACTCTGTGATGTTTTTTGCAGAATTGTTGTCCTAAAAATAAAAAAGTTGTTTAACAATCTATCATTAAAATATTGACACAGTTCACTATTTGTTACGAGGGAGGAGTGCAGAGAAAGGGACAGCCAGGTGTTCGAGAACGGATGGAGACGGCACAGCACAGGTTAATGAAGAAATACGAAATGAAATTCTCGAACACCTGCCTGTCCCTTTCTCTGCACTCCTCCCTCGTAACAAACAGGAACTGTGTCAATATTTTAATGATAGTTTGTTAAACAACTTTATTTTATTTATCTCTACACTTTATGTCTACCTTTATCCCTGCCTCTATTTTACCTCTATCTCTCTCTACCACTTTTATGTCTATCTTTATCTCTATCTCTATTTTACCTCTATCTCTACCACTCTATTTCTACCTTTATCTCTATCTCTACCTCTATTTTACCTCTATCTCTACCACTCTATTTCTACCTTTATCTCTATCTCTACCTCTATTTTACATCTATCTCTACACCACTCTTTTTCTACCATATCCCTACCTCTATTTTACCTCTATCTCTACCAATCTCTATTTCTTCCCTTTATCTCTATCTCTACCCCTATTGTACCTCTATCTCTACCACTCTTTTTCTACCATATCCCTACCTCTATTTTACCTCTATCTCTACCACTCTATTTCTACCTTTATCTCTATCTCTACCTCTATTGTACCTCTATCTCTACCACTCTATTTCTGTTTCTATCCTTATCCCTACCTCTATTTTACCTCTATCCCTACCACTCTATTTCTACCTTTTATCTCTATCTCTACATCTATTGTAACCTCTATCTCTACCACTCTATTTCTACCTTTATCTCTATCTTTGGTTTACCTCTATCTCTACCACTCTATTTCTACCTTTATCTCTAACTCCTCTACCTCTATTTTATTTTACCTCTATCTCTATCACTCTATTTCTACCTTTATCTCTATCTTTAGTTTTACCTCTATCTCTACTCACTCTATTTCTTCCCTTTATCTCTATCTCTACCTCTATTTTTTGCCTTTATCTCACTACCACTTTATGTCTATCTTTATCTCTATCTCTATCTCTATTTTTAACCTCTATCTCTACCACTCTATTTCTACCTTTATCTTTATCTCTACCTCTATTTTACCTCTATCTCTACCACTCTCTATTTTCTACCTTTATCTCTATCTCTACCTCTATTTTTACCTCTATCTCTACCCACTCTTTACCAATTCTATTTCTACCCTACCTCTATCCCTCTATTCTCACTATTTTCCTATTTATCTCTACCTCACTCTATTTCTTCCCTTTATCTCACCTTTATCTCTATCTCTAATTCTATTTTACCTCTATCTCTACCACTCTATTTCTACCTACCATATCCCCACCTCTATTTTAATTCTCTATCTCTGCACCAATCTATTTCTACCTTTATCTACCTCTATCTCTAACCTCTCTGTTCCACCTTATTTCTACCTCTATCTCTATCCTATACTCTATCCTTACTCTATTTCTCTTTATCTCTTTCTCTCTATTTTAATTCTATCTCACCTCCTATTTTAACCTTTATCTCTATCCTACCTCTATTTTACCTCTATCTCTACCACTCTATTTCTACCTTTATCTCTATCTTTTTTTATTTTCCTCTATCTCAACCACTCTATTTCTACCTTTTATCTCTATCTCTACCTCTATTTTAACCTCTATCTCTACCAATTCTATTTCTACCTTTATCTCTATCTTTAGCTTTTACTCCTCTATCTCTACCCACTCTATTTCACCTTTTCTCTCTATCTCTACCTCTATTTTACCTTTTGATTATAGAAATATGCAAAATATAAAGATTGTATTATCCATGTACACAGTGATTGGGTACCCGGTAGGAACGCAATCTTCTGTCACTGTCGAAATCACGGAAGGACGATGGTTGTGAATAAATACACAGATATCAGTCATAAATCATTCATTTTAAGAAGACCTTGGACCAATCACTTGACAGTCGTTTCAAAATGTAATTTTGTCACTCATTCAATGTCATTTCCCCACTCATATTTTATTGCATAAATGCATATATGTCCACCTACAATCACTACCAAAACTATTCTCTACTGTTCAGCTTATACTTCTGTTTGTTTGTGAAACTGTAGGTCCTTGTAGCATTCCCCAAATGGTTGTAATATTTGAAGCTCATTTCATGGTGTCCCTCGACGTAATACCGGTTGACTGTTGCTACAAGGGAAACATACAACATTCACAGATCACCAAACAAAAGTCAATAATCTCTTTTGAAATGTTGTGCGCAGTGGCCAACAACGTAAGTTCCGACGTTTTTTCCATTGTTTGAGTGACACGGTATAAACACAAAATGCATCGACTAAGTACCACTCAACTCTCTGCTTACTAGTCACAATATGTCGGAAATATTGCCGATGTGATGATAAATCTTAACTCACTCACTCACTACCTCATTACTAAAGTGCATCGTTCGAACCCGTCTACATCATAAATCACTATGTTTGAAAGCTTTGCTGCGGCTTGAATATTATGTCCTTGATTGAACAGGACAAGAACCGAATGGCGCTCTTAGAAATCTTCATAGAATGGTATACGTGACATGTTTTAGAAATCAAATCTGCATAAATATATAAATCCACCCGTAAAGATGAACTAAAGGGATTATCACGGATGAGTAATGAAACCCACAAATAGGATTAACCGTGTTTGTAGCGACTAAGACCCCAGCAACAGGCAGCCAATCGTCTGTAAGAGGCCCAAAGACCACAACATATAAGACAGCCTACGTCCAGTCATGGTCAGTCACGAGTGTCCAGCTTGTATTTTACACCCACAAGGACTTACCCTTCCCTCCAGCCTTAAACATGCGAGAGATCGTCCACATGCAAACTGGCCAGTGCGGCAACCAGATCGGAGCTAAGGTAACACCGTTATCTTGTTTTAATAGGGATGGCTACAGATAAAGAACGTAGAGATCGATAATGGTTAATTAAATATCGATTCATTATCGATAAATATCGGAAATGTAACTTTGAGCAAAAATGACAATTCCGAAAGAAATGAATACATTTCACATCACTAGTGAGTGGTAATATATTTTTGGATGGATCATTAACGACAGCGTCCTGAACAGAAGCAGACCATGAATTATAAATTCCTAAATTTGTATATTGTGTGAGAAAATTCAAACTCTATCTCTATCACGAAAGAGTGAGTGAGTTAAAATTTATCGTCACATCGGCAATATTCTATCACAAACGATAATGTACGATATTATCGATAACACAATTTTCATATCGATAATGGTTAATAATTTTTCCTATCCACGATATTTCCGATTATCGATCATTTTAGTCAGCCCTATATTTCACACTGCATCCAATAGGTGTTCATATCAGAGATAATATCGTTATTAGGCTGTGTATTTGGAAATAATTGTATTGCAAAGTATTGCAATATATATATTGCAATATATATATTGCAATACAATGTTTGTACGAACAAATCCTATATATGGCCTTAACTATAACTCAATTCTTGTTTTTTTAAATTTCGTATCTCGAGCCCAGTGATGGTATTACCTGTTTCTGAACCCTGTAACTACCGTCATTACAAATCAAAAAGAAATAGTAAAACACTTCTGTATAGTCACACCTTGTGCGACCTAGGTTAAAATAGGTTGGATAGTCAGACTCAGTTATGCTAATGGCGTGGCATCGTCACCCGAGGGCGTGGATTGTAGCTTACAATTTAGGGATTGTCTGGTCCATTATTTTGTCCTACGGCTGAAATAATGCCGAGCATGGTGCCACACCAGCATAGTCACATCCCAAACACAAGGCAGTTATGTGTGAAAAGACTACGACATACGAAACGGTCTTACCTTGCTAAAATCGGAGTTAAATTCAAACTCACTCGGATCATGCGTTTTTGACTTGGATCATGCGTATTGAAGTATTGTTATATTGTTGTCGCCAAAGACCTGGGTCACCCCTTCGGTGTTTATGTCAATCGAATTGAGTCTTTCAAACTATTAGCCATACTCCATTTGCACGAGTGATCTGCAAACTCAAACAGCAGTCAAGCTGTCACCGCAGAATCTGAAAACACACTAAAGGCATATTGTCGAGCGGATCACATTCACTGTAATTAGTATCATGTATATTGACTTTGCAGTATGTGAAAACACACTAAAGGCATATTGTCGAGCGGATCACGCCCACTGTAATTAGTATCATGTATATTCGGGTCGCCATGTCGAAATACATGTTTTGCAAATAACGAAATTCATTCGTCCCGTGCTTGTCTACATAATTTTTTGTTTCGAATCCAATAAACTACTCTTCTCGTGTCAATCAGATTAGGACCACACTCACCTTGCGGTAAAGAATTTGTAAAGAACGTAATACTGAGATATGTTTCCAGTTCTGGGAGGTTATCTCGGATGAGCACGGCATTGACCCCACCGGCACCTACCACGGTGACTCCGACCTCCAGCTTGAGAGAATCAACGTCTACTACAACGAGGCTACAGGTTTGGAAACGAGATATAAAATTAAAATAGATAATGATGAGTATTGCCTAACGCCGGATCATCAGTTTAGCAGCTATTCGCGACGACTGTAAATAAATAAGTCTGTGTAACTATCATTCAGATTATAAGTCAAAATATCGTTTGACATGCATGGAGGTGTTTTCGTTGATTGTCTTTGCAAAATAAACACCGTTGTACTGAACAGAATCTGAGCGCCTTGGACATAATGACACGACCTAAGCTGAATGAGAGCCGCAACGTCCAGTTTTAAGTCCTCACTGTCATATACAGAAAAACGAATGCTGATTTTCAAGGAAGAACTTATGTCCCCACCTTTGTACACAAGTTAAATTATATAAAAAAATATTTCATGCATTGGTGATTCCTTTCCAGGAGGAAAATATGTTCCCCGTGCTGTTCTCGTGGATCTCGAGCCCGGAACCATGGACTCTGTCCGATCTGGTCCCTTCGGTCAAATCTTCCGTCCAGACAACTTTGTCTTCGGTCAGAGTGGTGCTGGCAACAACTGGGCCAAGGGGCACTACACAGAGGGCGCCGAGCTGGTAGACTCCGTGTTGGATGTTGTCCGGAAGGAGGCGGAGAGCTGTGACTGTCTGCAAGGCTTCCAGCTGACCCACTCCCTTGGTGGAGGCACCGGGTCTGGCTTGGGCACCCTCCTCATCAGCAAGATCAGAGAGGAGTACCCCGACAGGATCATGAACACTTTCTCCGTTGTGCCATCACCTAAGGTATGTTGAATCTATCGAAAAATGAATCTGTAAACTCAGTGCAATTATTTTCGAGACATTGCTGGGTTATTTCAGTGTAATATTTTACCATATATTGTGACACAAAGTGAAGTAATTCAGTGATGACATATTTTCCCTTTCCAGGTGTCGGATACAGTTGTTGAGCCCTACAACGCCACCTTGTCTGTACATCAACTCGTGGAAAACACTGACGAGTCCTACTGTATTGACAACGAGGCCCTCTACGACATCTGCTTCAGGACACTGAAGCTGACCACACCCACCTACGGTGACCTAAACCACCTGGTGTCCGCCACCATGTCCGGAGTAACAACATGTCTTCGATTCCCTGGACAGTTGAACGCCGATCTCCGCAAACTGGCTGTCAACATGGTGCCCTTCCCTCGTCTCCACTTCTTCATGCCTGGATTCGCTCCACTCACATCCAGAGGAAGCCAACAGTACCGTGCCCTGACTGTGCCCGAACTCACCCAACAAATGTTCGATGCCAAGAACATGATGGCTGCCTGTGATCCTCGTCACGGCCGCTACCTGACCGTGGCCACCATGTTCCGAGGTCGCATGTCCATGAAGGAGGTTGACGAACAGATGCTCAACGTGCAAAACAAAAACAGCAGCTACTTTGTGGAATGGATCCCCAACAATGTTAAAACCGCCGTCTGTGACATCCCACCACGTGGTCTCAAGATGTCTGCCACCTTCATTGGTAACAGCACAGCCATCCAGGAGATCTTCAAACGTATCTCGGAGCAGTTCACAGCCATGTTCCGTCGCAAGGCCTTCCTTCACTGGTACACTGGCGAGGGTATGGATGAGATGGAGTTCACTGAGGCCGAGTCCAACATGAACGACTTGGTGTCGGAGTACCAGCAGTACCAGGACGCCACCGCCGAGGAAGAGGGAGAGTTTGACGAGGAAGAAGGAGAAGCTGATGAAGCCTAGATATGCAGTGGAGATGTTTGTAGACTCAGAAATAAATCTGAACCCGATCACTAAATTAAGAATAGCAGTCTTTTATATCATGGCCAGTATACATTTGCAATGTATGGTAAGTAGAATCAGCTTCACTGTTTCAGAGAATGACTACAGTACTCGAACATGACATGCTACAACGTAAGGAATAAAAATTGTCTAAAATTGTTATACCTGGCTCAATTTACCACCTTGTGGTAAGGCGAAATGGGGTTTAACGTCGTAATTGAGAATATTTCGCTCATATGACGACGCATGTGTGCGTATGTGTGGCTGCTTGTACTAGCCCAGACTTATGCCCAGACTTATGATCCACTATAGTGCCAGCTCACTGGGATACCATGCCGTAGTTAAGCATGAATACCCCACTCAGACACATTATACTCCGAGCCCACCAGTCCTTGTTGTACCCATTAATGCCGAGCGCCAGGCAGGGACCAACGAGTACCATATTTTAACGTCTTTTGGTATGAAGCGGCCGGGGATCGAACCCGCGACCTTCCGCTCTCCGGGCGGACGCTCTAACCACTACACCACGGAGGCGGTCTTATCACCTAGTACGAATTTCCGAAAACCAAGTTGGTTCAATATAATTATGCACTTAAACTATAACAAAAATCAGAAAGTCACGAGTAACACAATCAATCAATCAAAGTTTATTCAATATACAGCCATAGGTACAAAACTCAACAAAATAATAACGAAAGTGACAAAATGGTTAGGTACACCTTTTACTTCTTAACCTTAAAGGTTCCTGTACAAATCTTGCTATGTTAATTAAGATATTTATTATTTATCACAGCTTAATCGTACATTGCATTTATAAATAAAGGATGTTTCCAGATGTATTCAGGAATATACTTATCTCTTAAAATTTAATAAACTTTACATATTAACAGAAAATGGTATTCATTTTCTGTACATCCATTCATACATAAATAGTAAAATCTTACATTGCGAACAATACCGCAAGGTCTACCAACTTTTACCATTAAAGTCAATTCCCAAGATCTTAACAAACATAAAGCCTTTTATATTCACGATCCTTGAGAGTAGATAAATAACATTCAACTGTAAGCAGAGATTAATATTCTTGATAGAAACATAACTTATTTGATTCACAAACTTTAGAAAACCAATCTTGCTGATGACAATCTTTAACTCTTTGCACAAACTTACTAAGAAATAGAGAACTATTACCAATTTCCTGAGAGATCCGAACAAATCCAAAACCATAGGAGAAAAGATACATTTTAACCTTTGAGTGAGTGAGTGAGTTTGGTTTTACGCCGCTTTTAGCAATGTTCCAGCAATATTACGACGGGGGCCACCAGAAATGGGCTTCACACATTGTACCCATATGGGAAATCGAACCCGGGTCTTCGGCGTGGCGAGCGAACGATTTTAACCACTAGGCTACCCCACCGCCCCTTTTAGCCTGTGAAGCCCATGTAACACGAATACAGTCATCTAAAGATTTACAAAGGAGATAGCTTTGCGTACCTTAAGCGCCTTGTGTATATTTACGCGTGCATATTTCTTGAAACAGAATTTAGCTGTGATAGCAAATCATCATTTTGTGAGTGGCAAGCCTATTAAAGTTTCATGCTGATTCATATAATGTCGTCCCTATGATGACAGCGCTATGATGATCGTGGTTTCTGTCGACTATACTATTTCTGAGATAACTTCAAAGGAACGTGTCACATGAGCAAAGGGTCATATTATTTCATACAGGATCAAGGTTGACAACTAGCTGAGATCTGGTTCACATAGGGCTACAGTGCTCACTTTTGTGTGATCTCGTGTGACTCAACACTTTCTTTAATTTGTCTGAAACTTAAGATCCTTCAGTGGGATGACCATGTTGCTTTATTCCCGACCTATTTTGTTGTAAATGGTGCGGGGTGTGTGTATTGAGGTGGGGTATTGAGTCTTGACACACATACATGTATATACGTCACCAACAAGTCAGTGCTTTATCATCTGACAGGTCATCACCAAGTAACTCTAAAGTCATATCCAGTCACCATTTTGTAACCACCGATTGATCGCCAACTTACCAATTGACCTCAGAATCAACAGTATTTGATCGCCAATTTACCCAAAAGCCACGGTGAGTTGATCGCCAATATACCACAAAATCTCAGTATTTGATCGCCAATTTACCCAAAAGCGACGGTGAATTGATCGCCAATATACCTAAAAGTCATCAGTATTTGATCGCTAATTTACCCAAAAGCAACCATGAATTGATCGACAATTTACCTCAAAGTCATCAGTATTTGATCGCCAGTTTACTCAAAAGTCACCATGAATTGATCGCCAATTTACCTAAAATTTACCTCAATTTACCCAAAAGCAACCATGAATTGATCACAATTTACCTCAAAGTCATGAGTATTTGATCGCCAATTTACCCAAAAGTCACCATGAACTGATCGCCAATATACCACAAGGTCATCAGTAATTGATCGCCAATTCCCCACCAAGCCAACATATTATGCCATCATGTTATCAACTTATAATCATCAAGTAACCTAAGGTAACCATCAAGTACAAAGTCACCTTAAGTCACAAGCACAACGTTACGTGACATCCAAATTACCATCATGTCACTAAAACGTCATTGCAAAGTCAACAAACATAACAAAGGCCCCATCATATCCCACACAAGACAGCGTTGTGTCCTTATCAAGTCCTATCAAGTCACCGCCAGATCACCATCATACTGCCACGGAGTGACCATCAATTGACCACACTCAGTGTGTGTTGTTGACTAACATCTGATTCGTTATTTTCAGTGAGGACGTAGTAGACTCGTCGGGCGAGTCTCTCTCTCTCTCTCTCTCTCTCTCTCTCCAAGAACCTCCCTTTCAGACGGTCTGGTTGTGGCGAGAGATGGAACGGCAATAAGACAAACGAGGAGAGTTATTGGAGGAGGGGGGTTTTGACACACACATATACTTCACAAGCAAGGTACTTTTCAACTGACAGGTCATCATCAAGTAATTATAAAGTCACATCCAGTCCATCTCGATTGATCACCAATACACCGATATACCTCTCTCTCTCTCTCTCTCTCTCTCTCTCTCTCTCTCTCTCTCTCTCTCTCTCTCTCTCTCTCTTTCTCGCTCTCTCTCCAGGAACCTCCCTTTCAGACGGACTTCTGGTTGTGGCGAGAGGTGGAACGGCAATAAGACAAACGAGGAACGAGAGTTACTTTTACCCAACTTTATACAGTCATGAATAGCACTTTGAGCATTCGAAAGAAATTTGCAGCAAATAAACGTGGAAAGCAATGATTAAAGTAGAAGAATCAACCAACGAAATGAAATGGTTACAGCTTTGACAACTGTACAGAACAATCATTTGGTGTTTGCGATTTCGACAAACGGTTCTATAACATTCTTGGGGTGGTGGTAGAAATCTGTCCTATATCAGAAAACCAAGGAACTAAACATGGCATGTTTCTTGTGTCAGCCATTTACCGATGTCATAGTATTGCTGATGAAATAGATCCAAATTTTGAATTTTGACACAAAAATCACAGTACGCCGATTCAAGTTGATCCTCACGAGTTTGTATATATCTGGATTTTCTTTCTAGTATCTCAGCATAAGCTGTAACATTTTGTTCCAGGTATTTAAGATGCTTCGCCAGCTCTTGTGGACTTGAAAAGTCCGCTGCGTTGATATACGTTCCTGGTGGTATTAAAAGACTATAATCAGCACCTCCCCGAACGACTGGAACAATATGGTGAGAATATACTTTAAACAGCTTCTCTGTGAAATAGTCAAAGCAAGGGGAATTTTCAAAGGATAAATAAAACCTATATTCGTTGTACATACCATCACAATGTGGGCCTCTACATTTCAATGGACCACAATTTCCATACATGTCAACTGATATATTATGCTTACGTAGTTCTTTTACATACTGTTGTCGTTTTGAGGGAGTGTTGCAGTTACTGACAAACCACAAAACCGACTTAGTTTTATTCAGAGCAATTTTGGAGAAATCAGCTTTAAGTGGTGGCTGCCGATGATAAAAGACGCCGTAGGGGTAGATGATATCAGAGTCAAGGCGATACGTCATAGTCCAGTTAAATACACCGCGCCATGCCTCTGTCTTGTACAAGTGACTTGAGTAGTAAAACGGACACTCTATTCCAAACATAGCCCATACTTGGTTGGGTTTTCTAACAGGAGGTTTCTTTAAGTTCAGTTCAGTAAGATCGAAGATCACAACATCTGCTTTATCGATGTGACTTGGACCCAGTAGACATTCACAGTTTTTCTGTGGACATTTTTTTAAGCCTCGTCGACAATGGTCCTGGGAGTTTCTATACCAACCGGGGGGTTTATAAAACAGTATACGCTTGGTCTTGGTGCTGTTTACTGGACGGTATCCGTCACTGAAATTCACGCTGTAGGACATCTTCTGTCTGTTCTTGTCCGAAGAATGGTATGTAATTGGTTTATAGAAATAGGGATAAGGACTATCTTTGTTGAAAACCATGTGATAGCCAGATTTTGAAACTCTCTCCTTTTTGTTGGTTTCGCCTCCTTTTTGTTGGTTTCTGTTTGTTGTGCTATCAATATTTCGTTTCAAATCGATTGGGAAGAGTTGTCTGTTTGTTGTGCTATCAATATTTCAGTCGGTTTAAAATTGATACTGGTTTTCTTTCCATCTTTATCGGAAGATTTGTCTGTTTGTTGTGCTATCAATATATTAGTCGGTTTAAAATTGTTATTGGTTTTCCTTCCATCTTTATTGCCAGAGTTGTCTGTCTGTGGTGCTATCAATATTTCAGGCGGTTTAAAATTGTTATTGGTGTTCATTCGTTCTTTATTTGAAAAGCTGTCTGGTTGTGGTGCTATCCACATTTTAGTCGCCATAAGACTAAACTTATTGTAGTGTAGCAATATCATTCCGCAGAAAGCTGTGGCGATTAGCATAAACAGGAAGTACTTTAATTTCTGTCCTGACGGCAGAATCTGAAAACAAAAGAAAGACAGGTATTTACAGGCCATGTAATAGATAAAGGTGACACGTATGCAAACACATATAAATATAGATCAGTACATGTAGATTGTTAATATTCATTGAGAACTGCAATGAAGAACACATCGCAGGCTATGTATCAGTATCACTGCACAGTATCATCTTCATCACCAACCCCCTACACAGTCCCTATAGTGCACGGTACTAATGGTTCCAACACCGGGGCGGTGGTGTAGCCTAGTGGTTAAAGCATTCGGTCGTCAAGCCGAAGACCTGGGTTCGATTTCCAGAAGGGTACAGTACATTTATATATGTAAATGCTTAAAGTTCTTTTTATCAAAAATGTTTGAGTGAAGTAAGAAATTATCTGTGAAGTGGAAACAGATTGCATCTATATATCCTGCGAGAACAATCATGGCGGGACATCTCTTACTAGAAATAGAAGTGAAACGGATGAAAACGGTTCCGAAAAACAAAAAACCACCAAAATGGTACATGTGATACACGTCCATTTGCCATGTAGGATGGGATGGTACGTCTTATGGAAATACGGATTGAGCCGGGTCGTACGATCCTATACCACCTGGCAAATACCCGTAATAATTGTGTACTTCCTGTAGCCAGCATGAAGTGCCTAGTATAGTTTTCGATTGCTTTAGGTACTGGAGCCCTCTCACATTTCAGAATATATTTTTAAGGTGACCTGACCTGCGTCATTTTCTCGTAAAGGTGTTTGGTCAGAAAACTGTCTTCCTCCGGCTGTTTGGTCTCAGCTTAGAATCTGAAAATGAAAACAAAATACTTATAACTTTACATTACATTTGTGTTGGAAACTGGCGATATAATGCGGGCCGGACAACTTCGGGATTCCTCTGCTCCATGTTACAATATTTATGCATGACAATTGGGGTCAGAAAATATATTCCAGCTAATTCCACAACTTTCTTCACAAATATCACTTCATTGCTACTGCTGTCAGTAGTCATTTTGTATTTAACAATTATTTTGCATTTGTGTTTAAAAGATAGATTCTGTTGTCATCGGGGCGTAAGACAAGGCTCTTCATAGTCTATTGACCATAACGCCTTCTCCGTTCCGCCCCACTTCCCCGTTCCACCCCATTTGTCCTCTAACAGTTTAGCAGGTTTATGGACAAGAAGTCGACCTATTCAAATTTCGCTATCGACACGAAGTCGACTTAGAAGTCATGATAATCTTTGGTGATGAAGGTGTTGCTCGAGTCACGCAAAACGGCTAGTAGGTGTTGTAATATTTTCGATAACGTGAGCATCGTTTAAGGTGTGAACACTGTTCATTCACGTAGTTCATACAAAATGTCATCAATGTCATCATATGGGAGTGAATTTTACAAGGATGAACATATTTCATTCAAGCTATGATTACACAATGCCATTTAGAAAGTGGTCAGATGTAACATATGTTATATTTGGGATTACACTTTCTTAGTAAAGTACAAATTCTAGTACTTCTGGGGTTAATCCCATCCGGGATTCGAACCCACACCCTCAGAGTCAGACACCTAATCGCCAGCACACAAACTCAGACGCCTAATCCGCTCAGCCACCGCGACAAAAATGGAAGTGGGACAACTTGTAGCCTAGACAGCGGACTTTGTGTACCACTTTGATAAGTGTTAATTGGCACGGCTCCCACGGCCGAATTAAACCTATGATTACACAATGCTACTTTAGAACGTGGTCAGATGTAACATATGTTATATTTGGGATTACACTGTCTTATTAAAGTACAAATTCTAGTACTTCTGGGGTTAATCCCATCCGGGATTCGAACCCACCCCCACAGAATCAGGCACCAAATCGTCAGGACGGCAAAGTCAACACCAAAAGTACTAGAATTTGTATTTTACTAAGAAAGTGTAATCCCAAATATAACATATGCTGCATTTCATTCAATTTAGATGTATATAAGGAAAGAACTCGCGGTAGATTGCATTCAGTTTCGAAATGGCAAAGTCCACAGTCAAATCAGCGATTTCTTCCTGCGTCACGTTGGTGGATTTACGTACCGAGTGAATAAGAGGAAGCGAGATTGGATATCCTGGAATTGCACAGAAAAGAACTATAACTCCACTGTGATAACTGTCAATGACACTGTGTCGTCCAAAGATCCCAGTGGAACAACCACGATTCCGACGGCCCCCGCACCAACAACCATCTGGAAGGGAGGCACTCTCGTCTGAAGAGGCTGGCGGTAAAGGCCCGCCCCCAAATGTTTGCAATAATCAAATTTCTTGCTAAGGAGCAGACTCACACTGAAGTCTGCCTGTTCGGCGGTGGACGGAAACGTCCATTGAAGAAAAAGAAATACAGGAACTATGAACATCGCCTTGCCATCCCATGACATCATCTTAGGAGTGGAGTGAGTGAGTTTAGTTTTTCCAAAACTATGAACATCGCCTTGCCATCCCATGACATCATCTTAGGATTGGAGTGAGTGAGTTTAGTTTTACGCCGCACTCAACAATATTCCAGCTTTATGGCGGCGATCTGTAAATAATCGAGTCTGAACCAGACAATCCAGTGATGAAGAGCATGAGCATCGATCTACGCAACTGAGATGCGATGGCATGCGTCAACCAAGTCAGCAAGCCTGACCACCCCATCCCGTTACGACAAGCATGGGTTACTGAGGATCAATTCTAACCCTGATCTTCACGGGTATCATGTTGGATGATTTCGTATATCATTCATTATAGAATGTTTTGATATAGGTTATCTCATTGTGTAGGCAAGCTTATCAACACAAAGGTCATTTAGGAACTTAGACTTTAATGTTATCTGGTAATATCTCATTTATTGGACTAAAATTAACTCTTGCCCTGAATTACCTCTTCGAATGAATGATGTTCTTATACCTTTAGTAAGTGATCATAAACACCCAGGACATGTCTTTCAGGAATATGGAAAATGGCAAAAACATATCGTTTAAACATATAAGCAGAAACCTGGATAGGCTAACAAGCTGGCTCATTCCCACGTACACTACTTAGGGAGGGGATGGGGTGGGGTGTGGGGGGTGTGTGATTAGGAGAGATTAACAGTTATGTGTCAGTGATTGTGCAGGGTGAATTTGTTACCCCTGCTTTAGCCGTAACATAACTTCACCCAGCACTCCAATTAGGGCCAATCAGAGCATTCTCACGACCACCGGTGAACATATTTCACAACATAAATTGATAACCATGCCACTTGCTAACAATTGAATTTGATCTGAGTGAACCATATTCATATCATTTTATACAAATTGAATTTTAATTGAGTGAACTATTCCAGCGACAAGTATTATAAAGTATGAAGATTTCCTTGTTTCTCCATTGCACTGTGGCAAACGTTCAAGTAAACACTCGTTTCTTTCCCAATAGACTCGGCGGTCAGTACTTGGTCTACAGGGGCTGTACGTTTAGTATCAAGACCAGACGAAATACTTGCATCCATTGGAAGTGTTGTGTAAAAGACTGTGGATCAACACTAACGATGGCCTTCTGGCATCTTACAAGGATGTACACAACCACCAGCCTAGACTAACGCTTAGTCTCTGAAAATATATAATGTTGACAGTAACAAGTAAACCCATTTAAATTGAAAAGAAGCCCCAGGGAGACCAGAGATTAGACTTGCTTCATTTAGGGCTTTAGCATTGCAGATAGGGAAAGGGAGTAGTGAAAATAATGTGGTTCAGGGACTGTGAGACAGACTACCACCAGCCAGACGAGACCAAGAGATCAGACCTTCCTTCAATCCCTCAAAGACATGGTGAAATATTGATGTTTTATTCATCAAATATGTGATATGATTTCGTTAGTTGTTTTTCAAAGTATTGATGTTGTATTAACTTGTATAATTGGATAACCTGTATATATATTATATAATCAATAAATAAGGATAAACATTGAATCAAAAGTAGTTGATATTTTATCACATTTGGTCCCGGACACTATTTCAAAGGGAAAAGAATAAGGGATTAAGTGGGATTATTACGCCCCAGAGATTTCTTATATTAAAACAAAAGGAGTTGGGTAAGTGGGAAGACCCAAACAAGCCTTGTGGCTTATATAACGCCGCTCCAATACATTGTTTCAATAGCTGGATACATAATTGAAATTATTTGACAACAAAAGGATAATGCTGAGAAAAAATATCAGATATATGATTGAACAATGAATATGTTCGTTACGGCGTTGGTTATGACTTACAACGAAATCAGCTCGAGCTGCCGCAGAAAATCAAGTTATATAAAACTTGTCTTACATTGAATTAATATGTAGAGACGATAATCACTGGGAGCGGTTACTTTTAGAAATGAACTGGAGTAATGAGTTGAATATGTCACTATTGGTTGAGATAATCAATGCGCCGTTACCGTATGAAGTAGTTTGATATCGTATCCTTGAATATTAAAATACACAGTTGTTCTTAAATTTGTATAGTTTCAACATGCAATAAGGTAGTGAATAACGTCCTTGTCATAATGACCACATGAACACTATATCTGTCTGCGTTTAGATCACTACAGCCGTTCTTGAGGCAACAATGGATGATTTGACAAAATCTATTCCCAATATTTAAATCAAAGTAATTGTGAGTTTCTGTTGGGTTGATCATGGTTTTAAATTGATTCAGGGAAATAGCGTTAACATCTCCATCGGGCAACAAATTCCACGACATAATCGCGCTCAGCAAAAATGATTGAGAATGTCTTAGCGTTCTACAGTTAATAGTTTGAATGGAAGTACTATTTCTATGATTATAGTTGCTTTACTAAAATATTCTACCTGGTACAAGATCGTTCAGATAATCAGTAGTCAGACGATGATAAAGTTTATAGAAACTTTCAGTGCGGTATTAATTGACTGGTGCCACGAACCGCACCGCATCTACAATGTCATTAATATAAATGATGAACTGAAGCGATCCTGAAACGGAACCCTGAGGCACACCAGCTTCCACAGATTAAAAACATGAACTTAGCCATAAATTAACCCTTTCTACATTCTACTATCTAAATAACTCTTAAACCACCCCAAAGGTTCTCCCCGTATACCATAAGTGTGAAGTTTATGAGTAATGCCTTTGTGCCAAACTTTGTCAAAGGCTTTGCTTACATCACAGAATACGGCTCTGTTTTCCTTTCCTTGGTCTACTGAACTTATAAAAAATAAGGATAAGTAAGTTGATTTACTGTAGAATCACCAGGCATAAATCCAGATTGTACGTCTGATGAAACATTGTTACCCCTGAAGAAGTTGAAGACGCATTTACAAATGCACTTTTCAAAAACTTTAGCGACACAGCTTCTTAATTCTACAGGTCTATAGATTGAACAATCATCACCTTTCTTATGTAGCAGGATCACCGAAGCTAGTTTCCAAGATGAAAGCCCATATGACTAAGAATGAGGCCCTTTCCACATTTTTTCACGGCCAATTTGACTTTTTCCAACGGCCCATTTGACTTGGCACGTCTCGGCCCTTTTTTTGACTAGATTCCGATGACGGGTACATTTTATTACGAAGGGAGATGTCTAACAACTTTGCTAACAATGGGGTTAGAGAGGTTGAAGTTAGTTTCAGTATGACGTTTCCAATGCCATCGGGCCCTGAGACTTTCGATGTATCTAGACTCAGAAGAATATCGTGAACATCTTCATTGTTCTAAGAGAAATGGGTTGAGTACATCAGCAATAAGTTGTTCATTGTCATATACTGATGGAAACTAATTTTAGTACCAAGAGTGCTATTTA